AGGTATAAATAATGATCCATTATTCCTTATTATTTTTTCGCTGTCCGGTCTTTTCCATCCAGATAATATTTCTGCGTCTTTGTTCAAAGTTGAGCTCCAGACTTGAGGACCTGCAGCTCCGGGCGCCGTCCTCAGGTTCTCTGCATCCAAAGGGAAAGTTTCCCAAACCGACGATCAACGACTGAACCTAAACGAAAGCAGCAAACTGAGAGGAAAAATAAATAAACGTGAGCCAAAGCTTCTTCATCGTCTTTATTAAACATCAACCCACATTTTTAGATTTTATAACGACACATTGATGAGGTGGAAACAGCTGCGTTACACCGAGGGAAGCGCCTAAACATGCATCACTTCTCACAACATCAACACCAGGTTACTGTAAACGACGACGCCACCGAGCCGATGTGCCTAAAATCACTTCCAAATAAATTACTTTCTATAAATAATAACATTTGATTAAAGTCGCTGAGCAGTTCTGCAGCTTTTTTCTCCTGTTTAAGGTTCATCGCCTCTTTCTGCTCGGCTGCTCTCATCCTCCTCGCTCCTTGCTTACTCTTTGCCTCCCTTATTTTTCTCACCTGTCCTCCCCCGGGAGGCCGGCAAAAACATATTTTCCCCAAACTGTTAAGAGAGTGCTGCAGAAAGGGGGAGATTAAGATCTCAGAGCTGTCAGGATGTTGCAGAAATCCCTCAAATGCTTTTTCCCTTTAAGGAGGAGAAGAAGTTGTGAAAAGCTTTGACACGCTCGGCTTTGCAGGAGTCCGACGGCGGGAGAAGCTTTCCGACGGCCGACGGAGCAAAGAGGGCGAGAAGCAGACTAGCTCTGTAGATATTTTACATAGATTCACAGGTGATTTATTTTGAATAAAACTAAAAGTTTATCAGCCTTCAAAGCAGGAAGGTCTGCAAATACTTGGTCCTAAATCTGCGGCGATAAGATCCGGTTTGAACCGGATTTATAGCAAAACACACAAATTCAACATTTAAAGTAAAAACAATTATTCAATAAAAAGAAGATGAAAAAAGGAAGAAGCTGTTCCTACTGGAAATGGGTGTGTTTGTTTCTGGGGTCAAAGGTCAGCAGTTTTTAACCTAAGTAATCAGAAATGATGCGATACCAGTTTAATTTACTGGTTTCTCCTCTGGAAAAGGTCCAAGTCAGACGAAAAAAACCCGAAAAGATTCACTTTTTAAAGGAGAAATGTTTTAGTAACAGTCGGAAATGTTGCCGTTAGAAAACAGAAAAAACGAGAAAGAAAAGTGATGAAATGTTGGAATGAAGGGAAAACTTCCTGGTGTCTCTGCTGAAAACGATCCGCGGGAAAACAGAGAATTCAGAGGGAAGTTTAAAAGTAATAAACCTCTAAATGAAGGAAAAAAAAACTAAAATAAAGAGAAAATAAAATAATTTTCTAGTGTTTTATAGAAGTTCTATGTTGATGTTAAAGATAACCGCTAAGCTCAGGATCACATGGAGCAAAACCAGCCAATCAGCAGCGAGGAACCGGGAACGCTGCACACGGGATGAGACGTTTACTGCAGCCACGGAAACGGCAGCTCCGGTCAGACCGACTCAGACTCAGAGAAATACTGGGGAAAATTTACTTTACTGGCGGCAGCGTCCGAACCCGACCCGGTCCGGTTCATAACCGGTCCGGGCCGGAACAGGTCCGAGCGGGAACCGGTCCGAGCGGGAACCGGTCCGACCCGGAGCCAGTTTGAGGTGAAAATGTGTTAAACTTTGAGAAAAAAAAATGGCTGGCTGCAAAAACACGGCGGAGAAGTGAGGATGGCGTCTGAGAAGGTTTTTTGTTCACGAACAGAACCGTCGGACCTCCCTGGAGTTCTTTCGATCAAGAATAGAAACAAGGTAAAAATTCTGCAGAACCAGCAGCAACAGCAGATAAATAGGAACCAAAAGACCCAAAAAACCAACATCAACACCAATCAGAAAATGAACAGAACTTCTTCGCCATGATGCTGTAGCAGATAAAGCAGGAACCAAACCTGGACCCGAGTCCGGTTTGGACCTTTCTTTTCTAAACCTTTTTATTCAGGTGGTGAAAACCATCAGAACCACCGCATGCATCTGCCTTTGATCCCAAACCGCCAGGCGGGTCCAGGTTCGTCCGGCGGCGCCATCGGGGCTACACCATGAAGCGGTGCTCCTTGCCATCGTGGGCCATCAGGATGACGTTGCGGTTGGAGGTCCAGATGAGGCGGGCGAGCTTCAGGTGGTTCTGGGATCCCGGGGAAGCGGGTTGCACCGGAGGAACCTGGTAGGTCTTGATGCAGCGGAGCTGCGGCGCCGAGTTCAGCATCCCGATGCTGCCCAGCAGACCGGTGTTCATCTGGGAACGGACAAAAGAACCTTTAGATTTCCAGAACCTCATCAATTAGACCCAGAAAGAAGAACAGAACTAGAACTTTCTTAGGACCTATTTTAGTCCAGTTTACTGACCTGGTCACTAGATTCCTGTTATAAAAACTCAAATATCCCCCCCATTAAAATGGCCGATAGTTTCGCTAACAGTTGGAATCCATGTAGGATTTATAAACATCATCTCATCACTTTAGGCTGCATTTACGTACGTTGTTCACCTGCTGTTGGATCACTGACCTTCTGTCTCTCTGACTGCGCTGGACCTCAGTTTTACCGATCTATGGGGGGGGGGGTGCTGTATGTGATGCGGAAAGCCAGGCAACGCCATCGACCTCCAGTTATTGAGAGGAAAAAAGCTTCGTCTCTGTTTTGCTCCACTACCGTACATCACGGCCACACCCATTCCCTGACTGGCTAATTCAACGCAACATTTTAAAATCCTGCTTCATTTTGCTCCGTTTTATCTGTGAGTCCCACTTGTTCAAACCACCTTAAAGAGTCCGACAGGATTTA